CGCGTCGAATGCTCGGAAAATGTTGCACGTTGTAAAGTCGCACGACGGCGAGCGTATCGCCTCCGCGATCGAGATCAATCGATCTCTCGGCAGGTGCGTCCCTTAATTCATCGCGGTTATGAAACTTGAAGATTTACTCGCGTGTGGTAAGAGCGAAAATACTTCGCGCCGCTCATAGAGGCGGGAGGGGGGGGGGGACGACGAGAAGGAGCGAATTTTCGCCGCGCGAACCTCCAGCGTCTATAGAAAACTGCAATAAACCGGAATAGACGTGATAACTTGGATGCGCGCGCGCGCGCGTGCGAGCGACGGCGCGACGCGACGGCGGTTAGCTACAAATTGCGCGTGGCACAATGGCGTTGTTAACGCCCGAGTACCTCATTACGATCGCGGAAAAAAGCTGTCGATTGCAAGCGGAACGCCTCCTCGCTCGGGCTTGTTTAGCGCTCTCGCAGACTCGAAACTCGCGATCGCGTCTCGCGGTTTTCACCGCCGCTCTCTTTTTCACACACACACACACACACACTCTCTCTCTCTCTCTCTCTTTCTCTCGAACATTAAAAAATGATCCTTAACTATAAATTAGTCTCGCATCTCGAATATCGTGTATTGTCGCCCGCGCGAGTCGGCTTCGACATCGGCGTTCCAGCGTTTATTCTACGCGTCTCGAGGGCGCTCGGATTATTCTTCGCGCAGCGAGATCTCTCGGAGAATAGATTGCAACGCGCGCACGCTTGCGTACTCTCGCTCGTGAATAGCGCTTGTAATTTTTTCGAGGATAATTATGAGAGGAGCGTTAAATGATTTTTCAGCGGGAGCGCTTTCACGCAGCCGTGCGATTCCGTGTCTCTCCGTCTGCGCGTCTCTCCTCTGCATCCCTTCGTTCGCCCGCGTGTTTATTCGAGAATGAGAGGGAGAGGCGCGCACGGCCGTCGCCATTATTTTTTAAACGAAGGGCGAAGCGAACACGCTCAGCTCATTGAAAGTGATACAATCTCGGAAAATAACAGATGTCTCCTCGAGTGCTCGACAAAGAAAGCTCTCGCTCGTACCTCGGAGATTTCGTGAAAAGCCCTTTGTCGTGCCCGGAGCGCCGGAGGGAAAGAGAGAACACACACACACAGAACTCGGGAAAAATCTTAATCTCAATTATTTACTAATTCCGCGTCCCTTCTCCGTGCGCCGCCGGTCGTCACTTAAATCGACCCGTCTCTCCGTGTATCTCATTTCGCGCGCGGCCGACGTTTTATTTATTTCTTTATTTATCATTCACCATCCGGGACGTGCGCGCTCGCGTCCGTTTGCCGCCATTTGGATGAACATCAAAGTCGCTGGTGAACAAGAAAAAAGTTACTGGCTCCGATGACCAACCGCCCAAGCTGAAAATTATCAAACGACGAAGGAGACGGCTGATGAACATTCTCTTCTTCACGAATTCGCCATTTCGTTTCGTCGTTTGATTTTGACTCGCTCGGTTTCGCCGCCGCGTCGCGTCGACATGTCGGGCTGTGCGGACCGGAAAATTCAGCGGTCAGCTACACGCATCCGCGAAAAGCGCGAAGAATCGCGAGACGAGGAGGAGGGTTGGACGGCGATTAATCCGCGCGTCCGATGCGAATTAGCGCGGCGCAGCGCGCGAGCACGAGCTCGCAGTTTATTACCGGTGTTCTAATTGGCGCAAATTAATGCATCGTGCTTAAACTCACGTCTTTCACACTTGACGAGGTGCGCGCAGCTCGCCTGCGAGATATTCCCGCTTTTGTGCGGCCCCGGCGAGGCAGCGCGAGTCGCGTCGTTTCAGCGAGACTTAACGCAGCTCGTTTCTCGGATCTCCGTCGCGTTCCGCACGTCGTTGCCGCTCGGCTATCCGGGGACAGTTCCGAGACAGTGATTTCGTCGCCGTCTCATCCTCGCTACATGGAGTCGCGAGCCTTCGGGAGTCCTCCCGAAGAGGAGGCCCGCTGAAACGGTCCGCCGGCCTCCTCTTCGCGGCGTCTCTTCATATTTCTTTTTCTTAATTACCAGCGAGGTAAAAAGCGTCGCGGGTAAAATCAATCTCGCGCTCGCCGGGCCGCGAGACCTCGTCGTCGCCAAAGGATTCCAGGATCCCCCGTCGCCCGAGGAATTCGAGCGTAAACGCGACCGCGGGCGTCCTCCGAGCGGAATCCTCACGCCGCGGAAATCTCGCGAGCGCGAGTTAATCGAAGGGAAAACTCGCGAATCACCGCCGTCCGTCGCGAGACCCGAGTTCAGCGTCCGCGAACGCGGAGGAGCGTATCCTGGAACGTCGAGAGCGAGTCGATACACGGGACGATTTATCTGTCGCGCGGAGCCGCGTTTTGACAGCGCGAGACTCGATCTGACCGAGCGACGAGAGAGGCGTATGAGCGCCTCTCTCTCTCTCTCTCTCTCTCTCTCTCCCCCGCAGCTCGAGTGAGACGCGGCGTCGTGGCGAGCGGGTGGCGCGCGGAATGATCTCTCGCTCGGCCACGTCTAACGATCCTCGCCGCTTTACAGCTTGCACTTTTCGCTCCGGCCGGGCCGCGCGCGTATTGATGTCCCCGCATCTCGCCGTCGGCCGCGCGTTACCGGCCTGAAAGGAGCTAATGATCTAGCGCGAGCCGCTGCCGAATGACAATTAACGCTCGTCGTGACGCACGCCGACGTGATGATTAACCGTGATGAGACCGGGGGCCCGGACCGCGGCGGTGGCGGCGGCGACGGCGGCGACGGCGGCGGCGGCGGCGGCGGAATGAGCATAGAGAGCGAGCGGGCGAGCGCGAGGATTCCTCAAGCGTCAGGCCGATGATCGCGCCGTCAGGGCGACGCGCTGAGAAGCTGTTCTCCGGTATTCTTCGGGACTCCGGTGCTCTCTCTCTCTCTCTCTCTCTCTCCTCGCAGCGCGAATCGATTCGACCCGCGCGCGCGCGAGCGACGAAATCATTCGCGCTAATTGTCTTCTCTCGCCGGCGCGGCGGGCCGGCGTCTCGTTAAAACGGCGAGCTTGGTCGAACGGCGAACAAGAAGAGCGAGCGGCCGGGCGCAAATCGTACGCGCTTCGTGACGAGCGCCGTGCTTCATTTCTTATGTGCATACAAATCTTCCGGGTGCGGCTTTAAAAATAGAATCTCCGCCGATAAGAGCGCGGCGCGTTATCTCGGGGCCGAAGTGTGGCCGGCGCGATGATTTATTGTTGCGAAGCATGAAATATCGCGCGAGGCGTATCGGCGATGTCGAAATCGTCCGCCGGTGATTAGCGAAATCGCCTTCGCGACGGAGGAGGACGTACGATTCGAGGTTGATTCGGAACTTTCGACGCCCGCCGTGAGCCTCCAATTTTTTCTTTTTTTTTTTTTTTTTTTGCGATCTTTTTTCGCCGCAGCGCGATTTCCGCTACATCCGTTCCCATTGCGGATTGCACGCGCGCGAGGAGGGATACCGGCGAAATTTATGCGGGACGTAATCAGCCTTGGAAAAATTCGGAAATTTACCGCCGACACGGCAGTGTTTATTATTTGCTCGGTCGCTATTTATTTTTTGGCGCACTTTGAAATTTGCTTTTGGCGAACCAGTTTCGACGGCGCCAATATTTACCGCGCTTCGCGGGCGATAATCCCCCGAATTATGTTCTTTGAAGCCGCGTTGTTTACGCGCGCACGGAAGGGTGTGTGCGACGCGGCGCGGCGCAGCGCCGCGCCGCAGAAAGGCACGGGGGATCAATCGAGTTTTTCGCAAATTGCCGTGAATTTATAAAATCATCGCGAGAACGCGACGTGGAATTATTTCGGCGGCCGCGACGCGACGCGACGCGATGCGACGCGTCCGATAATCGTTAACGGCGCTGGCCGACGGCCGCCGCCGCCGCCGGGCCGCGCGCGCGCCAGCCGACGGGCCCTTTTTCGCCGTCTATCGCCAAGTAAAAAAAATCGGCAATGCGATTAAGAACGCGATACGCGAGATCGTCAATCGAAACGCCCGCGCGAAACGTCCGCGGGCCCGTTAATAATCCACGCTCTCGATGTTACGTTGTTACGCACGAAAATTGCTTTTTGATCGCGCTCCCCGCGCTAAATAATCACCGCCGCTCGCCGCGCTCGCTCGCGGTATATTCCCCGCGAGAGTTACGGCATTATCGACGATATTATCCAGCTCCGTTAATACAGTATCCGCGTTATACCATGTTACACGAATTTTCAACGTGCTCCCGATCAACATGTTTTTTCACCTTTTTCCCCCGCTCGCGTTTCTCGTTTCCTTTTTTCTTTTTCCTTTTTCCTCCCCGCCGCAGAAACGCCGATGGATTTTCATTTTCCGTATATTTGCCCCCAATACAGCGCGATTATTACGTTCTACTTTTCACTCAAAACGGCCCGGTCGCGAACAATCGCACCCCGGCGTGTCACGTTCCGCGCGTTCTCTCTCTCTCTCTCTCTCTCTCTCTCTCTTCCTTGGCGCGGAGAAAGGAAAAGAGGAAAGAGAAGATGAGAAACATTATTCTAACGAGGACGAAATTGTGATTTATTACGCGCTCGTGCGGCGGAAAGCTCGAGTGTAGGAAAAAAAGAGAGTCGATCCTTCAATAGGGCCTCGCGCGCGCGCACAAAGTGCACACGTCGAATGAGCTCATTAGCGCTGCATCGGCGAACGATTATTTTACCCGCCTTTATTTTTACCGCGTTAAGCAACGTCATTATATCCATTCCAACGTCAATGAGAGAGAGAGAGAGAGAGAGAGAGAGAGAAGGGGGAGGGGCGACAGGGGGAGTTACACGCCGTTCGGCCGACGTTTTTTCGTTTCCGCCTCTAAATACCAACAATCAGCGCCGCGCGTAATCAGCTCGCGAGGCGCGCGAGGGCGAGGAGGAAGGATCGCGGAAAGGACGAATCGCGGAATTTGACCAAAGGCATTCTGCATGCTTCCAGCACTGTGTTAGCGTGGCCGGAGGTGGCGGCGGCGGAGACGGCGGCGGAGGCGGCGGCGGAGGCGGTGACGGCGGGGGCGGCGGCGGCGGAGGCGGCAGCAGCACGGTCGGCGGCGGTCGGCTGAGCCTGCACCTTCGTCCTTGCGGAGGCGGCGGTGGCGGCGGCATCGCCGAAAGTGACAGCGTTCCGGATTACCCGCCGAGCGCTGCGGCAGTGCGGAGCAGGGAGGCGGCGGCGGCGGCGCTGCACGCGGCAAGAACCCTGTTGGGCGCGGGGGTGGCCAACCCTTGCTCGCCCACCCCCGAGCCGCCCTTCTGGAAGATGCCGCATAAAGGTCGGTCGAGTCGATTTATGCTTCGTTTTCGCGTGAACGACAGCGCGACGCCCGCCGGATGTTTGGCGATTAATCGGGGCCGGGGAGGGGAGGGAAGGAAGGGGCACGTTGCGGCGATTCCGGCGACTTCCGGAGCTTCCGCCGAGCGACACGCTCGCGACTTGCGCCGATGGCGGCTCTCGTTAGCGCGACTCGCGTCGTCTGCGAGATCGTGCGCAATTTGAGAGCGGCTCTGTTTGCGGAAGCTGTTAGATGGTCGTTATCAACGGATATCGCGACGATCAGCCATTTTCGCGAAGTCCTCCACTCAAGCCGTGCGCTACACGGACGTTGTTTCCTCAGTTTTTTTTTCCCGAGATTTATTCATACATCTGGAGGTAACCAAGAAGTCTCGTACCGTTTTAATGTACGCGAAACTTTAAATGATTAGTTTCCGAGTAAGTGTCGCACACCGGTAAATTGCCTGCTAATTAAGCTCTTGTTTGAGCATACATAACCACAGCACTTTTAACTGATAGCGCGCGCATGTGCGATTTGGCAATGACGGCAAATCTAGAGACGGCAGGAACTTTCTCGATTACCTAATATATCATCGAAGCTTCGTCCGCGAGCTTGTAAACGTCTCGCTTTTGAGCACTCGGTCTCTCGTGGATACCTCCGGTGTAACTAGGGTTGCCAAATCCCGACCTTAAAATTACCGGACATTTTTTCTTTGGTAACAAACCCAAACCGGACTAAACCGGACAGAAATAACAATCATAACGTTACATTAAATACAAAATATGACAAGAATTTATTTACAATATTAATTTCCAAACAAGATTTTATAAACAAGATTTGATTGAATAAAATAATAAACTATTACTTTTTTCATATATATGAAATGATGGATCGGCGGATCATCTACTAGATGGCTTTCCGTGACGCTTGATCGTTTGTAGGCGCTTGAAACGGAGAAACGTTGCTGAAAGATCTGAACTCTCATTCCATTGATTGGATATAACTTAAAAACCGGACGTCCGGTTTGACTTATTAACCGGACACTGGACAAGACTTCTGAAAACCTGACAGTCCTGACAGGGTCAAAACTGGACAGTTGGCAACCCTAGGTGTAACGCGAGTGAGAAGGAACGCTGTAATCGCCAGACATCTTTGCGTGTCATCTTGGCTACGTACACACGGAATACACGCGTGAGAAACTCGTCGCATTAGAGAGAAAGAGGAAGAGGAGAGATTATCCGCTGAGAGAGAAGCCGCTGTTCACATCGGGAATATATCCCAGCGAGACAAAGCGAAAGGGCGAGCGACTTCCTAATACCGAACTCGATTCGCCTCGCGAGTTCGATTCCCCGTCCGCATCGGAGCGGGACGCGCGATAAAGAAATTCTTTGCCCTTAAAGCGTCCGCGCTGTCGCGCGTCCTCGCGGGGACTTGAACCGCCGCACAGTGGGGCCAGATGACATTTTTTGGTTGAAAATTCTCTAGAGACCTGAATTTCCAAGCGATCATCGACACCAATGGATGAGGTTGATCCTGAATAAATTCCAAACAGATCTGTCTAGCCGAAATTTTGAAAACATTCTGTCGATTCAGGGTTCATGGGTTTAGGGTTTGTCTTAAGAGTTTATCGTTTAAAGTACAGTGTCTTGGGTCTAGCTATGGCTAGATTGAGTTCTTGGACTATTTGGGACTCGGAATATATACGGCTTCATGCATCCACGAGCTGAGAAGTTCTCGGATTGATAGATTCCTAGATTGATGGGCTTAAGACTCAAAATCCCTCGGTTTTGTGCTTCACGGGTCTATATTTGATGTTTTTGCATTTTGGGCTTATGAGTTTTGGGTTAATGGGGTTTCTGGTTCAAGATCGATAAATCTCGAGGTGTCTGTTGATTGTTTTCATAGTTTCGATCCGCTGAATACGCTATTAGATAGAAAGAAGTGTCGAATAATGAGTATTTCACAAGTTTTTCGCGTTTAACGATAATCTTTCCTCTTTTGGGGCTAGTAAATGAGAGAAAAACATTTTTTTCTTAATTTTGGCAAGACAGATCTCTTCGGAATTTATTCAGGATCCACCTCATCTCCATTGGTGTCGATGATCGGTTGGAAATTCAGGTCTTTATAGAATTTTGAACCAAAGAATGTTATCTGGCCCCACTGCGCGCCGCGGCGAAGCGACGGCGGTATCGCTCGGCGAGGCTGCCGCTTATAGAAAGAAACAACTCTCGACCCATTTTCTCGTCCCGCTATCTCGGCCGTAATCAGATCGCGGGGGTTCGTTAATCCGCAAGAAAACGCGCGTCTCGCGGCGCCTAATTAAATGACCATCGTTCACTTCCGGCGACTCCGAGAGACGCCGAAGGAAGACAGCGAGAACGAGCGAGCGGTGTAGCAAGCAAAGAGGCGAGCACAGCGAGCAGCGAAAACGCTCGCGAAAAGTATCGCAGCGGCTGCAACATTAAATCGCGACGCACCGTCTCTCGTCACTCGGCAGCACCCGGCGAGTCGCGACCTGCCGTGGTTGAAAGTTTTCTCAAGCTCAAGGGTGGGTAATTCCGATCGGCTCGGCGGAGCCCTTCGAACCAAGTCGCGACCTTCGCGATGAGTTCTATCGCAGAGAGGGGGCGAATAAATACGCGTACGCTTATGGGCTTAGGTAGGCTCGCGGTTACCCCCGGGGGTTAGTCGGTAACCCGACACGCCTTTGGCCGGCTTCTGTCGGGCCAGCGCGGCCCCTTCGCCGTCGACTCCGGAGGGTGTGCGGAGGCCCTCTTGCACCTCGAAGGATCCGACCCTACGCGCCGCGCCGCCACACCCGACGACAATCGGTTAGGCCGGCGCGAGCTCCCTCCCCCCTCCCCTTCGCGGGGGCGCTTACACCGCCAATTTGTCTCGATGCAACGTAATCTTTTCCCGCTCGCAGGCGGCGCGGGCTCGCGTTACGTGGGCTCGTGGCCCACGCGAGCTCATAATGGGACTTACAGGAGGGTAAGTGCTTCCCACTCCCTCCCGCCTTCTCCGCAGCCCTCTCTTGGAACAACGCGTGTCTATGTGCGCAGCTCCAAGGCGGACAATGTTCGCGTGGCACGAGCGCGCCCCTTTTTCACTCGTCCAACCACCGATCTGTCTCTTTCCCTCTCGCGCGTTCTTCCTTCTGCTCCGTGCGTGTGTGTGCGCGCCGCACACGCAACGAAGAGAGGGAGAGAGAGAGAGAGAGAGAGAGAGAGAGAGAGAGAACAAAGTCCCTCTTACTTCGGTTCTCCATAAAAGCCCACGGCAGCTATTCGAATCAAACGGCCGATTCACGCGAGAGCGCTTTATTTCGCTTCTCGTCGCTACGCGAGATTTGTTAATGGTTATGGGCACGCCCGGCTATGGGCGCCGGGATCGGATCTCGCGCGCGTGCCAGGCCTCGGAGAGGCTGCGGAGATTACCTGCCTCCGCTTCCAAGGGGGTAATAAATGTCGGCGGCGCGGGATTATCCCCGCGACCAATCAATAGGCTACGGCCCGGCGGCAATACGTCCGCGAGGCACGCCGATAACTTTCGCCCATGGCCCCGCGTGTACGCGTTGCGGGCTTCGAATCCTCCGCCGCCGGTTTGGTCCTTCGATCGCCGCATCGTGCGGCAGCCATGCTTGCGTGAGGAAGGACACGCTGCACGCGAGCGCGTCGAGGGCTGTGTGCCGTCAGAGGGACTCGCAGGGAGGGAGACGGAGGGACGGAGAGAAAGAGAGAGAGAGAGAGAGAGAGAGAGAGGGTGGGACGAAGGGAGAGAGATATTTCGCGTACGAGTAGCCGTTAATTAATCCCGTCGTGATGCGTTTCGCCGTCCTCGTTAACCGGGCGATATTTGGTCGGCGATAACTCGTTCCGTAAGCGCGGAGGGTTGAAAGATCAATGGGACGCGCGCGACTCGATGGCACGATTGAGAAATCGATGCGCGCGAGACGGACGGACGTAGGACTGCCCTCGTCCTTCTTCCTGCCGCGCTCGTCGTCGCCATTGCGATTCCTACAGGCCGCCGCGCCGCCGAGCGACGCGACGGCGCGGAATTCACGTAGCTGTGAGAAATCCGCACGGCCGAGATTATTCCGACGCGCGCGCGCGCGCGGCGTCTTGTCGTCGTTAGGCGAGTCGCAACGAGCGCGAATATATACGATTACCAGCCCCCGCGGCCATGAGTTCGGTGTTTACTCGCGAACGGCTGCAGGGAAGATACGCGACGGACCGTCTTACACACGGTGTCAATAATAACGGGCGCGGTAATGAGTATGCGCTGTCGGAGATGGTGGCTGCTAATACCGCGCCGCCGCCTCTTAACACCATCCGTAATGAATTCGTCGCTCGGGAAGCGCGCGCGCATCTGCTAGAAGGGAGAAAGAGAGAAGAGACGAGCGGGGGGGGGGGAGAGAGGGAGGGTATCCCGCTCTTACCGTGATTCAACTCATTAGAGAGCGTATGCCTGGCACGCTATCTTTGATGTAGTTGAAAGGCGCGCACAGATGAAGCTCTCTCTCTCTCTCTCTCTCTCTCTCTCTCTCTCTCTCTCTCTCTCTCTCTCTCTCTCTCTCGCGATGCCGTGAGTTTATCGCGAAGCGCTCAGAGGCTGCGTCGCATCGCGCCGCGTTGCGCCGCGCCGTCGTTTGCTCATCCTTCCGAATCTACTGACGTGATAATAACATTTAGCCGGTGACACTCGACAAACGCGTCGGCTCCAGAAGCGGCCAACCAGCCGTTATGCCGTTAGCAGGCCAGCCTGTCACCGAAAATAAGCGCGGCCCGCTCTTGTAAATATTCGCCGAGCGACGCGGAACGCTAACACAACGGCGATTCGGGCCGAGATGTCTGGGGGTTGTCGCTTTCGAAACCGTATCCTTCTCTGTCATGTAATAAATTCTCAAAGAGAGAGAGAGAGAGAGAGAGAGAGAGAGAGAGAGAGAGAGGGGGGGAATCTCGCTCATTTTTCTGCTTTCGAGGTAAACTGGAAGGCGAGAG